AACTTGGAGCGAATATTTTTTTCCTCTTATCCCTCTCGTTTACCAAATAGAACATAATTGTTCTCGCGATAATCGCGATCGTTCTTAAGTACTGACTAGCCTGCGCGACGTACTCTCGTGTACTTGACAATTTCATGCTTCGTAAGTCATCCAAACGATTCGTTCCGACACTCACCCTCGCCACTGCCACCCTTGTCATGCATCGGTTCTAGGGTGGTCGGCGGGCTGGCACTCATCTGGGATCAATCCGAGGGTCTGTCGGCCCTAGTCGTCCTGGGCACCAGCGCGTGCACGACCGAGGTATGGGTCCTGTAGCCGTGACACTGCATATGGGCCTACGGTCAGACCCCATGGGATGATTAATTTCTCCCCCATGTGGCAGGGGCCTGCGTGACCGGCTACAGGGCCTCGCTAGGGACCCTCGGCTTGATTTTGGGTGTTTCGCTGGTTCGTCGATCGCTCTCGTTCGCGAGTAAGTCATGGCGGGGTCTGTGGTGGCTGGGTGGGCTAGGTTCGGTCGGGAGGGTGCCGAGGTATGAAGTTGTCTTGTACACGAGAGTACGTCGCATAGGTTAGTCGGTCTTTCGAATAGTCGCGAACCCTTTTGTAAGACACGATATTTGGTAAAGTGTCAGTAGATTCACTTTAACTTCTTTCGCACCAAGTTAGATTAGGTTATCTTTGATACGCATAGCGCCAGTAGGTTGCGCCACTAGGGCGCATGTCGGGTCTCGATGCGTAGCCACCTCCCCGTGGTGAGACCTGGTAATTGGTTTCATTTCCCAAAGAAAATTATTCTATAATAATTTTCTTTGGGAAACGATACCAAGCTAAGAGCTACGCACCGAGTTTAAAACATATCCTATCTCTTGCAAATTTTCAAAGTTCCTCTTGAACTTTGTCAATTATTTTGTGATTCGAGTTTAAAACACTATATTGCAGTTTAAAATTCGTGTTGAACATACATTATATTATATTATATTATATACAATAATAAAGGAATATAACGTACCATTCCAAAAGGTATTGATGATGAAATTTCCAAAAGTCATAAGAAACCATAATGTACAAATATAATTTATTATACTATCCATACTAGTGACAATTAATGTTTTTATTTACTTTATTAATTTATTGATATTGAAAATAGCAGAGGTATTCAATCTGGTTAAAATTATTGCTATACTTTGTATATCTAAATAAAACTATTACTGAACTGTAGCTATGTTATCATACAACGCTATATATGGTCTGCTACTATAAAATTTTTATTT